AAAATCAGGTCTTCCTATATGTATTAATGTTAGTCCATTCTCACACTGCTTTCATAAAGAGCATCCCCGATACTGGGTACTCTATAGAGGAAAGAGCTTTAATTGACCCACAGTTCCATATGGCTGGGGAGGCCTCAAGAAACTTAGAATGGCAGAAGGGGAAGCAGGCACCTTTCTTGCAAGGCAGCAGGAGAAAGAGGGGCAAAGGAAGAACTTGCAAACAAACACATAAAACCATCAGATCTCGTGAGAACTCTATCAGGAGAATAGCATGGGGGAAACCACCGCAATGATCCAGTCACTTCCCTTCCTCTATGCTTGGGAATTACAGCTTGAGATGAGATATAGGTGGAGACACAGCCAAATCATATCACCGTATATGCGCCTTAATGACAACTTGAGGTGTTTTTGCCCTTAAATAATGCAACTCACGTTTATAAAATTGAAGATAGGTCTCCATTTGCATGGCAAGGAGGTACAGCTTCACTGAGAGCAGTGGGGGAGAAACCCTCACTTCTTATATCTTTGTTGGGTGAAACATCGACCACTGTGCCTCGGGTGGACTTAGCAAGAATTTAAGTTACACTTCTAATTATAAAAGATGTTACTTGATTTGCTGCAATTACTCAACCTTCACCTTAGAAACTAAGCCATTGGTCTAGGCTTACTCCAGGCACAGCGCTTCGTAACAGTTGAATTAATTTAAGGCGCAGTGCCTCCCATGCATCCCAGGAACTCAGGCTGCCTCTGAGGATGAAAACACACACCAGCTTTTGGGCCCCAGCCTGGAGTACCCTGTAGCTTCTTCAGAGCTTCTCCCTTGTGGCCAGGCTGCTCCCCTCCCCATGCTGTCCTTGCAGCTGCTATGGAAGCTGCTCTCAACTGCCACACAGATTCCAGCTGTGGGGAGGGGAGTGGTCACAGTCACATGGGATATTTTCTAACTCCCCTAAGGAAGGTAGTCATGTATGGGGCTCTAGCATGTTAAAAACAATATGATCTTTCCTGGTAAAAAGGACATTGAAGCAATGTTAAAAGCTGGAAACTTGTTAGTAAGCGGGGAAGAAGATGCATCTGATGGCCTGGTGCAACTGTTTTACGCTCCTTTATTTCAGCGTTTTTCCTTTCACAGTGCTGTCCCTTTAAGTGTGCCATCATCAACGGCTGTAGTCATCGTTTGACCTGAAGAGTTTAATTGCTTGTTTAGATCCTTGCTTATTCCACGGATTTAGGATGATTTTATCTAAATGGTGAAGAAAAGTGTCTGTCTGCACAGTCCCCTACAGATTTATAATCCCACAGTTCTGTATCTTTTAAATTAAAAGCTCCATGACATTGTAAGCTTTAAGTAAACATTGCTGAAAGCATTTTTAGAGGATACGGCTGTTTTTCTGCTTTTGTCTATACTCCTTTCTTCCTCCTCTTACACTTGCCTTAGCTCCAGTTCTGCGGAGCACCTCCATGGTCCTGCCTGGCCTCTGCTCCTTCACTTGGCTTTTCAAACCCGATAGCGGTGTCTCACTTGTTCGATGCCTGCAGTTTCCTTTTGTCAGTCTTCCTCTCTCAACTACTAGAACAAACACTCAAGGAAGTAGAACGTGCCTCACTGCCAGTGTGTCCATCTCCTTGCCCTGAGAGCCCTGGCTCTTTCTCCCCCTCACAGGAAATCAGAAAATAAATGGAGCACTCATGCCTGGGTAACCCTCCCTTAGAGGAGGCTTTTCACCACTCAGCTGCTGAGGAGGAGGGTGGGCCAGCCCTTCCTTCTGTTCTGCAGCTTCTGTAGGGAGACATAGTGCAGGATGGGATCCAGGAAGCCTTGAGTTACTCAGGTTTTTACTTGAACTTCGACTTCTACAAACCAGCCCAGGAACTTTTGTGAGAGTCCTGTCTTTTGTACTACCCCAAAGGGATTTGACCCCTCCACTCAGGGATCGTGCTTTCACAATCTCCAGTATCCAGACCGGTTGGAGGTTCTGAGGTTTGTTTGGTGTGTTGTACAGCAAACTTAATGAGATACAGCTCGTGGCCAGGGACAGTGGCTCATGCCTTATTCCCAACACTGGGAGACCAAGACTGGAGGATCACTTGAGGCCACGGGTTTGAGACCAGCCTGGGCCACAGGGCAAGACCTTCCATGTCTACTAAAAAAAAAAAAAAATGCAGCTCGTGGTAGAAAAGCAAGGGAAAAATACTATAGTGCTGAAAATGAAATGCTGACATACAGCTGTGGGTGGATCTGCCTACAAAAGCAGAAAAAGAATAGAGAAGGGCTCTTATTGTTGCTGGTAGCAGTCAAAGCCAGAGCATCCATCAGGAGGCAGAAAGCCCAGGGTCTGCTGTAAGGAAGAGGTCCGCAGAGGCGTCAGTGCACAGAGGGAGCAAGGAGGATGGGGAGTGCAGGGCAGGGGCCACACAAAAGCCCAAGGAAAGGCCTAGTCCACAGCAACCAGCCTCTCCTGGACCGCAGTGTCGACAGGGTGGACTGGGCCCAGCTGCAGACCCATCCCAAGGAGGAAGAGCCAGAGACTTCTGCAGGAAAGTGCAGCGAGCCCTGGGACCAGGAGAGAAGCATGCACAGAGGCAAAGTCCACACCATGGCAGCCAAAGCAACCAACGAGCCCAGTCCTCTGAGTACAAGGCGGCAAGAGCCCTAGCCGATACTGTAGGTGCAGCCAAGAGGTGCAGTTTGGATGCTGCTGAAGGGACGGGTACAAGGCCACACAGAAAACTTCTTTTCTCAAGATAGCAGCACTCTACCCTTGGTTCATTCAGGAATTTTGCAAATAGTTGGTGGATACGGTTGATTGCCCAGACCCTGTGTCTATGCAGATGACAATTCACGTTCTGTGAAAAAGACTCGGGAGACAAAGCACAGGTGGACCTACTGTTGCCGTGGCTCACAAGATACCTTCCCAGCCTTCTCCATGTGCAACACAGCAAATCCTGTCCTGTGGTGCAGGCAGTCCTCCACATTGCCTATCTGGGAGGACCACATATTTTGGAGTTAAAACCTGCCATAACTCTCTCTTTATTTTTCTTTTTTCTTTTTTTGAAGACATAATCTCACTCATGCTGCCCAGGCTGGAGTGCAGTGGTGTAATCTTGGTTCACTGCAACCTCCGCCTTTCAGGTCAAGCGGTTCTCCTGCCTCAGCCTCCTGAATAGCTGGGATTACAGACACGTGCCACCATGCCTGTCTAGTTTTTTGTATTTTTAGTACAGACGGGGTTTTGCCATGTTGCCCAGGCTTGTCTTGAACTACTGAGCTCATGTAATATGCCTGCCTTGGTCTCCCAAAATGCTGAAATTACAGGCATGAGCCACTGCATCCAGCCCAAAACTCTCTTTTAATAGCAGTTCATACTCTGCCAACTTTCAAAATGCATCTAAGCAATTACAAGCATGCATGCCTATGTGCATGTAAACATGTGAACACACATAGGAGTATGAAGACTTACATGCCTTTTGTACACACACAGCCTTCTTTGTGTGTGTACATTGCTTCAGTGGGTCCTGGGTATCACAGATACTATCTTATGGGGGAAAAACTATTTAGGGATGATTATTATGTTTTTCATGTCATTGTGGGACAGTTAAAGGCCATTGTGGTTGCCAGCTCTTTTCAGGACTTACTGTTGAGTCTAGTTGTGCAAATTAAGGGTAGACTATATCCTGCTAATGCTGCTCCATGCCCCGTGGGAAAGCGTCAGTGCTAAATCTATAACAGGTGGTCAGTCTCCTAGCGGAATTTGAATCCAGATTTTTGTCAGACGAGTCTGTGTGTCTTCTTTTTAAACCAGGTATGAACAGGTTTATTCCCAGCCTCTTGGGTTCAGGGACTGCCTCTGTGCCACCGCAGACTGGAAGACAAGGCCTCTGCACAGGCTTTGGCACACAGCCTTCTGCCTTCACTGGGGCCTTGGGAGGATTGTCACCAGAGAACTCTCAGCTCCATGGAGCTTACCTGGTTTTGAAATTGTGCTTGATAGACACTCCTCTGTGTCGGAGTATTTCTTTTTATCATGTATAATGCCTCCTAGCAGGTCAGTTAGTTGGTTCTTCAGTAAAGTGATCTTTCTACACCCATGCTGGAGACAGTGAGAGTAGAGAAGACAGCTAGTGTGTGACAAGCAGGCCCTAGGAGGTTGGCACTGTTCTGAGAAGGTTACTTATGTGCCCTGAAGTGTTCAGTCTGCAAAGTAGGATTATTTCACTGGAGTAGCGCCATCAGTAGTATTCATATTGATAATATGAGTGCTATTAATACTATGTGTATGTTAAATATACATACAGAAAAAGCACATGAATAGAAATGTAGTGCAATGTAGCCTATGTTAGTGGTACTGGTACTATTATGAGCAGTATTCCTGTTCACCTTGTGTCAGCATGAGGAAAGCAGGCCCCTGCAGGACCACTTTATTTCTGAGGTTGTGCCCCGAGTAAGTGCCGAGCTGGGAGTTAATCCTCAGGTCAGCTTTCACCATCCCATGACACAGCCTGTGTGTTAAATGTTCTGTTCTCCCCTGGGAGCTTCAAAGCAGCATCTTGGCCAGGCATGGTGGGGGCTCATCCCGCTGGCAGTGGAAATGTCCTTAATTCTAGTGAGCCATGCAGTGGAACACCAAGTAATGACGCCTTGTGCTATCAGATGGAATTGACCATTCTAATTATATATTTAGATTCAAATATGCACATTTAAACAGAAAACATAATAATACAGATTTCATTTTTCTCCTGAGTTCTAAATTTCCATCCAGATCACAACTCCAGACGTAACTCCAGCAGCCTTGAGAGGAGGCTGCCCACAGTATAATTTAGTGAGAATGACCTGCAAACCTTTCGCCTGCTCACTTAGGTCTCCACAAAGCCTTTGTTCATGGAATGCGACATACACAGTAGATGTTATTGTGAACCTGATACAGACTTACTGTTGATACAGTATGCACTCTAAAAATCTGTTTTTGTTTTGTTTTGTTTTGTTTTGTTTTTTTCTGCAGATACTGAACGGCTCTATTCAGTGGTGTTTCAAGAAATATGTGATCGCTATGACAAGAAATACAGCTGGGATGTAAAGTCCCTGGTTATGGGTAAGAAGGCATTAGAGGCGGCACAGATTATAATAGACGTCTTGCAGCTCCCGATGTCTAAAGAGGAGCTGGTGGAAGAAAGCCAAACGAAGTTAAAGGAAGTGTTCCCCACGGCTGTGCTCATGCCAGGTGCGGTTGCCTTGCTGTTTGAAGGATTAAGTTTGTGAATATTAGCAGTGGTTTTGTAAATCACCTTTACAGTCTAGCGTAGGGCATGCTGAGTTTGTCCTCTTTTCTTTAGTCTTGAAACTAAGTCCCTCCTTCACGCTCCTGAAAGAGTCTGGCTGATGCTGTGGGATGCTGTGATTCAAATTTCTCTTTAAAAGTTTCTTAAAATAATATGCATTAGTTTCAGTGATTTCTGGGTTCCAAAAACATTTGCGTATTGTTTATATTACTATCTATAAAGATTATGTTAGTGACAGAATGGCTTCAAAGTTTAACCTAATAGTTTTGCCTTTTTCAAAATCAGGTATAGGATTAATATTTCAGCAAGTATTCAAACTTTAACAAATTGATAAGCAGCTAAATCTCCCCAAAGACACTTAATTTAAAAAACAAGTAAAAAGCCTAATTCATTTTTAGCCTATGTGTTTGTATGCCATTTAGCCCTTTCTTTATTTGTGTCCAGTTTTCTTCTGAAAGGAAAGACAGCTTTGTTCCTTCCAGGCTTGTTAACTGACATTAAATCAGAACAGATTTGCCCACTGCTTCTTGTTCAAGAATGTTCTAGATTACAGACCTTGAAAATAGACTATTTGAAGATTCTTCTGGGATTACAGGATGAATACTCTGTCTTTAGAATTTCTGGTGCTAGGGGAGAAAAAAAAAAACAGCAGTTATGTGAGTAATCTTGGATTTAAAATGATATTAATATGAAGCATACATACTTTTGAAATGTATGTTATTTATACATATGTCCAAACATGTGGATATTCTATTCCTGGGAAGCACACACACACATACAAACACACACCCTTTGTAATCACTCTGTCTGCATCCACTGCAAATGGTAGTGTTTGTGAATCTCAGGCATGGGTACAAGCACCGTGATATTCAGTTTTCTGCATCTAATGTCTGTACCATTTGCACATGAAGTTACCCTGACAAGTCTTGGTGAACACATCTATACAGTTACTATATAAAAATTCATTTGTGGTAGGAAGCACATAGACACACACACTAAAATTTACTATCTTACCTATTTTTAAGTGTACAGTTCAGTAGTGTTTTAAATGTTTGGTAGAATTCTCCAGTGAAGCCATCTGGTCCTGGGCTTTCCTTTGTGGAGAGGTTTTGTTTTATTACTGATTGAGTCTCCTTACTACTTACAGGTGTGTTAAGATTTTCTTTGTCTTTATTTTTCCCCCTTCTGAAAATCATCCGGGAATCTCTGTCTTCATGAATCGGTTTTGGTAGGTTGTGTGTTTCTAGGAATTCTTTCATTTCTTTTAGGTTATCCAATTTATTGTCAAAGGATATGCCAACAAATGATATTCTCGTTTAATTATTTTTATGGCACTGGTTATAATGTTGCCTCTTGCATTTCTGATTTTAGTCATATGAGTGTTTTTTTTTTCTTTGCTAATATAGCTAAGGTTTGTCTATAAAGTTACTCTGTGACCAAACATCTCTTCTGACTTAATATACAAAGCACTCATGATGTATGAGACATGCATGTGTCTTATTTCTTCCATATCCCCCCAGGCCTTTCACATGGTTTTCCTTCTACACTTTTTGTTCTATATCCTAAGATATACTTGAAATATGTTCTCCTGCAATTCTTTAAAAAAAAATGTTTTATCTAGTTAGTCTGGTAGTTTGGCTGGAGTGCTAGTGAATCTGTTTTATGGACTCTACTTGGTGATCCCATCAATGTAGTGTCTTCATTTGGCCTTTTAAGTGAGCAGGTGTCAGATTAAGTAAAGTGCTAATCACAGAAACTCATAGAAGGTAAACAACTAGTCAGGAGCTAGTACTTCAAAGATAGTTCAGTTCTACAGAACTTATCTAGATGGTTTTCTTTTCTTTCTTTACTACTTTTTTGACCTCTTTTTTTTTTTTTTTTGACTTGACAAATCCTGTTTTTTGGCATATGATTTGTGTGTGCCTGTGTGCGCATAGCATATACTTACTTTAACTTTTACCAGCTGCACTATTGGGAGTAGGAACTTTGATACTGATAGTCTGTCTTTGAAAACGATCATATCTACTTAACCGTATACACAATTAACTGTGCTTTGACAGAGCAGAGCATGCAGAAGACTTGAAGAGTATAAAAAAATGCACAAGGTAATCCTGGAAATGAGAAACTTAAAATCATGCTGGGAGGCTGGCTCATATGATGTGCAGGGACAGCGGTCGGTTGATGTGCTGCTTTGATATTCTGAAACAAGTTAGGCAGAATAAGACAAAATGATTAGAAATAATACTTAACCTGAAGGGAAAGCAGACCAGAGGAGGACAATGTTGGACTGGATGAATAGAGCAGAAAAACAGGCCGAGCCTAATTCTGATCCAGAAATGTGCTCTTCCTTAGGGTTTCTACTCAATATTATGCCAGTCACAAAAATGAAAATAAAATAGATCTTCTGTCCTGAAAGAACAGTCTTGGAGACCTAGTTTCCATTCATTTTGCACTCCTTCCATCTCCTCTTTTATCTTCACCCAACCTGAATTCCCCTGGGAAGGTGGCCTTATAGTATCATTGCTCTGGTGACTAGATTCAGAGAAACTTGCTGCTATAGTCTTCCTTCTTGTAGGTGTTCATTTTGCTCACTTAGTACTTTGTTTCTGTTCTTAAGCTGTAGATGAAAATATAACCCTTGACTTTCTTTTCTTTGTGAAAGTATTTTCTAGTAGGGTATGTTAGGTTGTGGAAGTCACCTTGAGCTCTTTAGAAAAGAAAGCTGTCTGTAGGGAGGGCTTGTTAATTCAACATCATTCTTTTTCACATGCTTTCCAAGCGACAGCTGAGCCCAAGGAGGTATTTAGCAAGTTAAATTGCAAGAGTGAGTGGTAGATTACCAGGGAAAGCAGCCCCATCATGCTGCAGGGGCTGTCTGCTGTGATTAGGGTGCAGGAGGGTGTCTGCCTGGGCCAGTCACCAGGAAATCAGCCTGATTGTGCTGCAGGAGCATGTCCACCTGGGCCAATAACCAGGGAATCAGCCTGATTATTTTGTAGGGGTGTTGTCTGCCTTGGCCAATCACCAAGGAATCAGCCTGATTATGCTGCGGGGGTGTGTCTACCTAGACCAATAACCAGGGAATGAACCTGATTATGCCTTGGCCACTCACCGGGGCATCAGCCTGATTATGCTACAGGGGCATGTCTGCCTGGGCCAATCACCAAGGCATCAGCCCCCTGATTATGGTGCAGAGGTGTGTCCTTGGCTTGATCATGGTATAGAAGTGCGTCTTTGCCCTGATTATGAAGCAGAGGCAAGTCTGCCTGGCCATGGTATAGGAGGGCTCTTTGCCTGGGTCAGTCTAGCCACTAAGAAGACAAGGTGGACCTAATGGACTTGAAAGATAAGGCAGAAAGGCCCTGATGCACTCGGACATCAGCTGCCTATTTGCTATAATCACGTTTCTGGAAGGCCCTCTCCATGAAAAGCTAGGTGGGCCTATGATGTCCTCAGGAGGAAGTCCTTTTGAGCAGTTAGTTCTGTAGGCATTTCCTACATGGCTTCATGCTTCAGTGGAAACTGTCGCTTAGCCAAGGCTTAAATTACCTTAGGAAAATAAACTGTCTTTTAAATTGTGGCACTAAGTTTAGGGGAAAAAATACATGTGGTTCATCTCTTGTGAGTTTTGTAGGGATTTTAAAAATAGGTACCATATTACAACTGGAAATGTATGTCACATTACTTAAAAAAAAAATCTTCACTTGGAATATCAGAAAATCTTGTTGAAAACATAGCCCATGATGGTTACCTTCATTATATCTTGAACAAATCCTTTGAGTAATGAATTCCTTTGGATACATGAAATTCTACATTTCAGTATAACTCAGCAAGGGTAATTTGGATTCAAAGACCAATAAGAAGAAAGTTGGTGCCTTTTATTGTGTGGAATCCCCCAGGAGTTTTTCTGTTGTCCTGGCTCTTTGCTTTACCAGGCATTTTCACTATGCGTGAGATTCCTGGAGGAAGAGCCCCTGGTGTGGCATCTGGGCCAGTAGAAAGGAGTGAGGTGGGCCTGAGTCCAGTAGAAAGGAGTGAGGTGGGCTACGCCTGATTCCCTGGTGATCCTGCCCCTAGGGACAGCCTGCCTTGCAGATGTGCTCCTCGGCCTGGTGGGCTCTTTCCTGCATCTCTTGGTCCTCACCGCCTGCACCAGGCTGTCTGGCGATAACTCCCTGCCCTCTACATTCCCCCTCTCAGACGATTTAGAGCAGAAAAAGCAAACTAGAACTCTGGCCCTCTGGATAGCTGTGGGCAGGTGCCAGAGCCCCACTTAGGTGGCTGAGGGGAGGGAGCAGGTGTGGCTTGTGCAGTAGAAAGCATGGGTCCAGTCCCAGCTCTGAAGCCCAGCATTCCCCCTGCTGTCCAGCTCCAGTCCCCTCAGGACACTAGGAATACTGACTGACATGCCCACTGTGGGGTACAATGATATGAATGTATCCCCCAAATCTAGTGTTGAAACTTAATTACCAATGTGATAGGATTAGGAGGTGGAGCCTTCAGGAGGTGATTAAGTCCTGAAGGTGGAGTGTCATGGATTGGATTAGGACTGTCATGAAAGGACTAGAGAGTAGGGCTTGCTCTTCCATTCCTCTGGCACCTGAGGACACGGCATTCCTCACCTCCAGAGGGTGCACCAACAAGGTACCATCTTGAAGCAAGGAGCAGCCTTCTGCTGAGACAGACCTGCCACTGCCTTGATTCTTTACAAAGTATCCAGTCCTAGATATTTTATTACAGCAGCACAAACAGCTGAGACCTGGGGCATTGCTATAAGACAACCTTGGAGTGTGTATGGTTACACCTGGCCCAGTGAGTCACTCCTAACAGGCACTTGTGTCATCTTCTAACCCAGGAGGATCCAGTCCTCACTCTGAATCCCACCTTGAGGAGTTAGTAATCCCTTCTCCGCTTCATTGAAAAGCACACACCAGCCATGGCA